TTTGTAATAATCAATAAAATAACGAAACAATTTACTCACGTATACGGCAACTGAAAATCGTTTATGTATAAACATTCTTAATTTAAGATGACAAGCGTAACAGCATACGTGAGAGTCAAACAGAGAAACTGTAAACAAAACGACCATCGGTTTTATTGCTTCGACTTCCACTTATTATATAAAACATTGGATTTTATTTTAATTTTTGACGGTGGAATTCACATTTGGTTGATTATAAACATGTCTATTCCACATTCGCGGAACCTAGCCAGCGCACAAAACAAATGCACGTCTGTAATGTTAAAGTCGATGTAAATAAGCGGCTACGCTTACGTTTCAACCGAGTTTTTACTTTAAAAAATTTTGTGTCTACCAAATTGGGTTGGTCCAATGTAATACTAATAATAAGTGTTGCCTTTAATTTAATCAATAAAATAAATTGATTTCATTAATTTTTTCGAGCCACCTCTTAAGATAATCTAAAAAATATGAATGGAATGATAAATCACAAGTACAAACTCATCATATTTTTTGCATTTTAGATAGGATTTATTCAGCAAAATTTAAGGGTAACGTCATCAATTTTTTTATGAGGGATGAACAAATACATTTTGAACAAAAGTTTACCATGCTTATAATAACTTTAAAATATTCCCAAGATTTCAAAGCATTCGGTTTTGTAATTCCTGATTAAATCGATAAAATAAATTCACGCCTTCATTAATTTTTTTGAGTCACCCTGCATATGCAAATCCAAAAATATGAATGGAATGATAAATCACAAGTACAGACTCATCATATTTTGTACATTTTAGATACGATTTATTCGGCAAACTTTTGAGCTGACGTCATCAGTTTTTTGTAGAAGATAACCAAATATATTTTGACTAAAAATTTATTATGCTCTTTATAACCTTAAAACATCTGCAAGATTTCAAAGCATTCGGTTTTGTAGTTCCTGATTAAATCAATAAAATAAATTTACGCATTCCTTAATTTTTTTGAGTCACCCTGTATATGCAAATCGAAAAAATTTGAATGGAATGATAAATCACAAGAAGAGACTCACCATATTTTGTACATTTTAGATAGGATTTATTCAGCAAAATTTTGTGGTGACGTCATAAATTTTTTAGGGGGGACGACCAAATACGTTTTGATCAAAAATTTACCATGCTTATGATAATTTTAAAATATCTTCAAGATTTCGAAGCATTCGGTTTTGTAGTTCCTGAGTAAATCAGTAAAATAAATTTACGCTTTCATTTATTTTCTTGAATCACCCTGTATATGCAAATCCAAAAAATATTAATGGAGTGATAGATCACAAGTACAGACTGATCATATTTTGTACATTTTAGATATGATTTATTCGGCAAATTTTCGAGCTGACGTCATCAAGTTTTTGGAGGGGATAAGCAAATATATTTTGACTAAACATTTATTATGATCTTTATAACCTTAAAACATGTGCAAGATGTCAGAGCATTCCGTTTTGTAGTTCCTGATTAAATCAATAAAATATATTTACGCATTCATTCATTTTTTTGAGTCACTCTGTATATGCAAATCCAAAAAATATGAATGGAGTGATAAATGACAAGTACAGGCTCATCATATTTTGTACATTTTAGATATGATTTATTCGGCAAACTTTCGAGCTGACGTCATCAAGTTTTTGGAGGGGATAAGCAAATATATTTTGACTAAACATTTATTATGCTCTCTATGACCTTAAAACATCTGCAAGATTTCAGAGCATTCGGTTTTGTAGTTCCTGATTAAATCAATAAAATATATTTACGCATTCATTAATTTTTTTGAGTCACCCTGTATATGCAAATCCAAAAAATATGAATGGAGTGATAGATCACAAGTACAGACTCATCATATTTTGTACATTTTAGATATGATTTATTCCACAAACTTTTGAGCTGACGTCATCAAGTTTTTGGAGGGGATAAGCAAATATTTTTTGACTAAAGATTTATGATGCTCTTTATAGCCTTAAAACATCTGCAACATTTCAAAGCATTCTGGTTAGCAGATTAAAAATTAAATTTCAACATGTTGTTTTATAATTTTGATTTTTTTTCCAAAAATCTGGACGTTTCGGGTGAAAAGTCGATTCAGAGTTGTAAACTACATGTGTAGGACTATGTTATTTTATACAATTGAAAACCCATTTACTATGTACAATTTTGAAGTGACGTCATCGCATTAGTGGTGGGGATGATTAGACAAATTTTGGTTAGCGTTTTACCATCTACATGATATTCTTAATATAAGTACAAAATTTCACAACAATCGGTCGAGTACTTTCGGAGATTATCTGTCTAATAAAAATCCGGGACAACAGACGGACAGACGGACAGACGGACAGACGGACGGACAGACGGACAGACAGACGGAAATGGGAGACCTATTTCTTCGTCTTCTATGGGTCATGAAAGATCGAGAAAACGTAAAAGTAGCGAGTCGGCCGACGGACTCGATTACAATACTTCCTTTGCTTACGCTCGGGAAGTAAAAATAACAAAATTCGCAAAATTGTATTTTATAATTTTCGGAAAAATCTGGATATGTTGTAATGTATTTCAGGGGCGAAGGAAATTCTGTCTAAATAAGCTGAGACAAGATAGAAGATATTTCTAAATCAGTGAAAACAAATCATCAAAAAACAAGTTTTTGTCCTGATCTGCAAATACCTCATAAGGTTTTCTTCAATTTTCTAAACACAAAATAACATATTAAGAGAAAATTGGTTGAAAGTTATTTCGGCAGATCTTCCCTAGCCCCTAAAGTACAGTTGAACAACTACAACTTCAAAAAATTATTATTAACTTAAACTTTGAGAATTTTTTTTCATCTTTATAGTCAGTTTCTCCATATAAATTTTTTTGATAACGTCAATAACATTTTAGCAAGGGCACATACATATATCAATTTAGTACTATTAGTCTCCTTAGAGTTTTGGCACCCTTGGAATCGCCGAAATCTTTGAAATTTAGAAAGTACTTTGAACTTTCACACTTTTTGGAATATTTTCATAAATTCAATAAAATATTTAAAATTTCTAGAATTGAGTAAATTTTTGAAATTTCCAGAAGTTCCAGACCTTCTAGATGTTATAAAAATTTCAGTCTTCTGATATGCCAGAATTCATTATTTTCCTCAGTTTTCAAGATTTCTAGGTCTTTCAGTTTTTCACACTTTCTAGATATTTCCAGATTTTCTAAAATTAATAGACCCTAGTCTTTAAATCTTTGAAATTCTTGGAATCTCTGGAATCTTTAGAATCTCTGACAAGTATAAGATAATAATTAGGGTGTCCAAGACCCCTAATACTTTTAGGATTTATAAAAATTAAAGGAAGCTTTGTTCAGATTTTTAGGATTTTTATTTTGATTAGAGTCTTTGGAATCTCTAAAATTTTTGTCATGTTAAGAGTTCATGCGTTTTTTCAAATTATATAGAATCTTTGAAATATTTGGAACAGAATTTTAAAAACCTTTTTAACGTTTGAGTCCTTAGAGTATTTAGAATCTTTAGACCCGATTTATAGAAAGCGAAGTTAAAGTTAATTCACGATTAAATTTTAACTGAGGTCCGGTGCTAGGAAAAGTGCATGTTTCAGCCAATCACAGGCTCATATTCTACATTTTAATTCTCTGTTAAACTAATCGAGGATTAAATATTTAACTCGTTGTTCTATAAACCGGCCCTTAGAATTTTGAGAGCTCTTAGAGTCTTAAGAATCAGAATTATTCAGTTCTTGAAACATTAAATCCCCCAAGCATTTTAAACAACAACCGCTTTATATATCGTTGTCGTGAAAAACCGGACTTTTTTTTATTTTCCGGGAGGTCCCTTGTGTATTACTAACTCTAGTTTCCTCAAGGTATCAGTATAATGTTTTTATGTCATCTGTCTTATGTGATATATAAATAATCTATTTTTTACTACTTTAAACTTCTTGGGCCTTGTGTTTTCAGCCCATCGGTTCTTGTTTGCTTTTTAGATCAAAATAATGAACCCACCAAGAACAATTTTATCAATTATTTGATTTTTTTGTAAGGAATGTTTTATGTTCCAGTTTCTCCGTTACAAAAAAAATCTCAACACCACACCACAAAAAAATATAATGATAAATGCAGACCTTAACTCGTATGTGACAATATTTTGACAATTTTACAATCTCCCTCATAGTTGGTACCTTTTATCAATTTGTCTTCGTACAATATTCTCCCAGAAATACAAAAATATATAACAAATTAAAAAAAAAATCAGAGTAAATTATATTAAGGCAACCTAAAATACTTCTACTAGCACAGAAATATGTACGTCTCTATGTTGTATATCATTCTCTTTCTATGCAATTGATCTGGAAATCCCGAATATGAAATGTCAATTGCCTAGAACCATTTAATGAATTAATAGGAAATGGGAATTTTAAATTTAAATAAATATTTTTATCCATCCATATATGAACATTTTATTGAACAATTTGTTCTATTAATAAAATCTGTATAAAATATGAAACAACTGACTGCTCTATTCATAATTTAGTCATAAAACTGAAGTACAATAACACAAATAGTGCCCGTGCACTTGTAAACTTATCCTTCTAGGGAATCGACATCATCGCTGACGTTTATAAAGCTCCAATTCTTATTTCCAAAACTGTATTTTATTTCTGCCAACTGAAAATGCGAAAACTTAAAATCATCAAAACTGAAAGATTCAGATAAAATGAAACACTCCTATCAAATTAACCTCGATGGGAAACCGTTACTTTTGAAATACCACTTCAGGCAACAGAGAGCAATAATGCTCACGTTATTTTTATACCTATTGGATATGGTAAGGCTATCTGCGTTTCCGCATGTTGTGAAACCATCTATTTCCATAGCAGCATAGTGTAGCTTTCCCGGCGCATCCACCATTTAATTGAAATTTTATTGCCATGCCTTACTCTGCGAAATAAACATTTATTGCAGGTAAACCCCGTTGCCCGTACTTAGGCGAACCCGACAACGGTCTCGTAGCTCCAACAAAGTTCGCTTATGAACCAGGAGACGAGCTACAAATCAGCTGTAATCCAGGCTTTGAGGCTCGATTAGAAGCAAGACCAAAGTGTTTGCCAGACGGAAAATGGTCGGCGCCACTACCAAACTGTACCAATTATTCCCAGATTTAATTGTTATTATACTGAATGTTTGTGATATAACTGTTAAGTGATGAAGATTGGGTTGCACCTTCAAAAATAACAGCCATTCTGGTGGCCACGGGCGTCTATAAACATACTTAGATCGCTTAACTTTTACGGTGGTGTTTATTTTATTAATAATTTCTTGCGTACTGATTAACTTGATATTGCAAATTAGTGTTTATGTTGAGTCTTTAAAGTATTACCACCGGTTTGCCGCTGTTGTTTTGAAGGGGTGGATCCAGAGTTCTTTACTTAATTTTACAATTGATTAGGAAATAAGTATTTTGATTATTTTGTACCAACGTTGTTAATAAACATGATGATCTCATGCCGAATACAAATTTTTATCAAATTGTAGATATTCATAGTTATATTTGTAGTTTTATGTACTTACAACGAAGCATATATGTACACTGGTACTAATTTATTTATTTTAGAGTGTTTCATGTAAATAAGAAAACTGCCTTAAGGTAGTCAATTTATATTCATCTGTAAAAGTTAATGTAATAAATTTATATTGTCAATAAAATGTGTTTTATTGAACAACGCTGAGAGAACAAGAACTAAATAACGATGCAGAGAGAACGTCAGTTGTTATGTATTACCTCTTACTAATGGTTCTGCTCTGTTCCATGTCCGAAAGAAAAAGTCGTTAAGTTGATTTAATTGAAGTCGTAACAGGACATGAGGCACGGACGTTTGGATGTGGAACAATTAGGGAAAGTAAAAATTACAATTTTCTGCAAAAGTAATTTTCCAAATGACAACTCAACGGCAGACAATTACACGGAATTAATGAGACGCATAAGCCCTTATAAAACTTTTTCAGGGCAAAAACACAACATGAACATAAGTAATAGCTACTTACTTCCTCACTGATAATACCGTCCTAAACGTATATACAGTGTCTTGACCTAAAGTTTTCAATAAAGTCATTATGGCAGCATCAAAAAAATGAAATTAAATTTGATTGTACCGTTAAAACTTCAGTTCGTAATTTTGTTGTAAACTTTAATTTTTAATATACCCTAATATGCATTTATATCAAAAATATAAACTTTAACCGCAAAACATTAATGATCTGCCTTCCTTCTTGTTTCCATTGCATTACATTTTTATTTATTTATTTCATCGATTCCCTCATTAGCGTGCACAAAACTATATATTTAATAAAACAGCAGGTTTATTACAAGTGCTCAACAAAGATCGATAAATACGGAGAAGGCTGAAAACAGCTACGTAATGAAATTTTTTCTTACTTGTGCGGTAAGAATTAATTATCTAGACGTTTTCATCAGTAACGTTGCTACGACACAAAACGTAAGTACTTTTTTTTGCACTGGCAACTCGGCTGGTAGACTATTATTTGGTTGGATAGACTACAGAGACGTGATGCTTAACACAATCAGGCGCCCACAAGAGCTAAAAACTTGGTCTGATTTGGAACTTTATCGTACTATTTTAAATTAAATTTTTTGTTTTTAATTTTCTGCTGACACTAAAGTATTTTCTTGTTAAAACAAAATGACAACTTATTCTGACTTACAAAAACCTACGCTGACTTTTTAGCGGATTCCCTTGATTTAATGCAAGATGAATAAATTTTCTAATCTGTATTTTTATTATCTTTGTGTTTATTTTTTTCATTTTAAACTAAAACTTTCAAGTTGACGGTAATCTGACAAGACGAAAACTCATCAAAGACATTTTTTTTTTTCACAAAATTGATCGCGGTAAATTTTTATACATTTGGGATTCGGTTCGATAAAAAGAGCGAAGGTTTGAATCCTGCACCCGACAGTACGACTTTTCTTGATTCCAAACAAAGCGCGCCCAAAGCCAGTGGAGCGCGCCATCGCTGCCGCGACATCGTGAAGAAGATAACCAACCTAGCAGAGACAATTACCGCTATCTAGTGGACGATCCTGGAAACTCACAACATTCTCTCGTCTTTTGTACTACTTGCAACGTACTCAACTTTATTCAGATAATGAGAGTATTATTTCAGTTAGTTGAAAATTAAAAAATATTTTTTATTTTTTCGGCGTTGTATAACTTGTGTCATTTTCAAAATATCAAATTTGACACAATGTTACTTGTAGCGCGTTTTATAGAATTCCTTATGTTAATTAATCGTTCTAAAATTCAGACTTTTACCTTTTCAAATATCTGAGATATTAATAAAGTAGAATTAGTAAACTAGAACTCTGTGTGTGAAGTTATATAGACAAAATTTCTACGGCGTCTAAAATACAACAAATTCAGATGCATATTAAAGTGTAGAAAACTTGAAAGATTGTTCTCTTGTATTTGTTAATCAAAGACAGCCATGGATTTTTGAAAATTTGTCTTTGATGAGCCAGGGGCGGCTCATGACTTGAAAAGTTGATGAGGCAAAGCACAATACGTTCCAAAATATAAATAAATCAAGATTACTTAAATATTTTCTACTTAGTCAAATAAACAAATTTGTAAACTCATTTAACTGTCCACCAAGAACCAACGTGAAGGTGTAAGGAACTCTTGTAAGGAAAGGATGGGAATGACAGGACAAAAGGAAAAAGGAAACGTGGTCAGAAAAAACTAATATAACTTAAAAAAAAATTGGTCTAAAGAGTTTAGACAGTACTTCCCTCGCTGTCGGAAACTTGACGACTGCATGCCTATTGTGTTTTTTTTCTCATTACATTTTTGTAGTGGGAATTTAAAAAAAAATTGCGATGACGTCATCAACATTTTTGCAAGGACACGTATATCAGTTGGGATAGATGTAGTGTAATACTAAGAATAAAATTATTATATTCTCAAATTTTCGGGAAAATGAATTGGGTCGTTTGAATATTGATTTGTAATAATCAATAAAATAACGAAACAATTTACTCACGTATACCTACGTATCAGAGGCAACTGAAAATCGTGTATGTATAAACATTGTTAATTTAAGATGACAGGCGTAACAGCATACGTGAGAGCCAAACACAGAAACTGTAAACAAAACGACCGTCGGTTTTATTGCTTCGACTTCCGCTTATTATATAAAACATTGGGTTTTATTTTAATTCTTGACGGTGAAATTCACAATTGGTTGATTATAAACATGTCTATTTCACATTCGCGGAATCAAGTGAACGCATAAAACAAATGCAGGTCTGTAATGTTAAAGTCGATGTAAATAAGCGTGCTACCCTTATGTTTCAACCGAGTTTTTCCTTTAACAAATTTTGTGTCTACCAAATTGGGTTGGTTGGGGTGTAATACTAATAATAAGTGTTGCCTTTAATTTAATCAATAAAATAAATTGACTTCATTAATTTTTTTGAACCACCTCTTAAGAAAATCTAAAAAATATGAATGGAATGATAAATCACAAGTACAAACTCATCATATTTTTTGCATTTTAGATAGGATTTATTCAGCAAAATTTAAGGGTGACGTCATCAATTTTTTTAGGAGGGATGAACAAATACATTTTGAACAAAAGTTTACCATGCTTATAATAACTTTAAAATATTCCCAAGATTTCAAAGCATTCGGCTTTGTAATTCCTGATTAAATCGATAAAATAAATTCACGCCTTCATTAATTTTTTTGAGTCACCCTGCATATGCAAATCCAAAAATATGAATGGAATGATAAATCACAAGTACAGACTCATCATATTTTGTACATTTTAGATACGATTTATTCGGAAAACTTTTGAGCTGACGTCATCAGTTTTTTGTAGAAGATAACCAAATATATTTTGACTAAAAATTTATTATGCTCTTTATAACCTTAAAACATCTGCAAGATTTCAAAGCATTCGGTTTTGTAGTTCCTGATTAAATCAATAAAATAAATTTACGCATTCATTAATTTTTTTGAGTCACTCTGTATATGCAAATCCAAAAAATATGAATGGAGTGATAAATGACAAGTACAGGCTCATCATATTTTGTACATTTTAGATATGATTTATTCGGCAAACTTTCGAGCTGACGTCATCAAGTTTTTGGAGGGGATAAGCAAATATATTTTGACTAAACATTTATTATGCTCTTTATGACCTTAAAACATCTGCAAGATTTCAGAGCATTCGGTTTTGTAGTTCCTGATTAAATCAATAAAATATATTTACGCATTCATTAATTTTTTTGAGTCACCCTGTATATGCAAATCCAAAAAATATTAATGGAGTGATAGTTCACAAGTACAGACTCATCATATTTTGTACATTTTAGATATGATTTATTCCACAAACTTTTGAGCTGACGTCATCAAGTTTTTGGAGGGGATAAGCAAATATTTTTTGACTAAAGATTTATGATGCTCTTTATAGCCTTAAAACATCTGCAACATTTCAAAGCATTCTGGTTAGCAAATTAAAAATTAAATTTCAAAATGTTGTTTTATAATTTTGATTTTTTTTCCAAAAATCTGGACGTTTCGGGTGAAAAGTCGATTCAGAGTTGTAAACTACATGTGTAGGACTATGTTATTTTATACAATTGAAAACCCATTTACTATGTACAATTTTGAAGTGACGTCATCGCTTTAGTGGTGGGGATGATTCGACAAATTTTGGTTAGCGTTTTACCATCTACATGATATTCTTAATATAAGTACAAAATTTCACAACAATCGGTCGAGTACTTTCGGAGATTATCTGTCTAATAAAAATCCGTGACAACAGACGGACAGACGGACAGACGGACAGACGGACGGACAGACGGACGGACAGACGGACAGACAGACGGAAATGGGAGACCTATTTCTTCGTCTTCTAGGGGTCATGAAAGATCGAGAAAACGTAAAAGTAGAGAGTCGGCCGACGGACTCGATTACAATACTTCCTTTGCTTACGCTCGGGAAGTAAAAAAACAAAATTAAAATAAACTTTAAAGAAAACGAATCGAAAAAAATCAAATACAACATAAAATAAACCTATTTGATTTATAACAAAAAACAAAACGAAAAACATATAAAACATAAATACTCTGGATTTATTTTAAACTTTTTTATAGATCAATAATTAGCGATTTACTCAAATCAGGAACCGGCCGTTTTAATTCCTTAACTACATACAATTTATCATCATCCGTGAAAGTAGAAAAAACAGAACTGCTATTGTCATTTAACGTTAGTAGAGAAAAATTCCGATTTACTCGTAACGATTACCGAAATCAAATTATGACAAGCACAAAGCACTAACGCGACACACACAAACGTAGGCACTTTTAAGACAAAATTCTGTTACCGAAATTTTGAATCAATTTATACACACACAGATTTGTGGCAAAACAATCAACGGCCTAATTTTGAATACTTCTGCAAATGCAGACTGCATTGTAATCGCACGCTCTCCGCGCGCAAATATTGTTGTCCATCTCTTTTGCAAGCACGGAAATGAGGCTAGCCTCAATTTTGTCTTCTTTCAACTCATACCGCTTAT